TTCCCTCTTTCTTCCTGTCTTTGCTGCCAGACTGGAGAGTAAACACACCCACGCAGCAAAGCCGGCTTGAATCTCGATTCTTTTGTTGATGCCACACCCTGAGCTTTTTCCCGTTGTAGGGATGTTTTCATGAGCTCATGCCACAGGTAATCTTGTACGTTTGACAGGAAGCGCTACTTTAAGATGAAGAAGATATGGTCCAAGAAGAGATTTCAGGTGAGCTTGCTGCTTTATGGAAAAACTGCATTTATTGATGGTGATATTAAGATATAGTCATGTTGTTTTCATGGAGATTCATGGGGTTTTACATATTGGGATGTCATGCCACACCCTTTTACCTGATAATCAGATGGAGATGTGGTAATTTGGAATGAATTAGGAATTTTTATACAACCTAGCATTCAGTGATGGTGGGGAAATACTCAAGGAGAAAAAGTATGGATGGATGCGATGCTCACTCTTCTGGGTTTGTTGTCTAATATCTGTTGACAAATTCAGGACAAATCAGGATAACCTAACAAAGAAAGGCAGCTCAAGAAAACTCTGGCTGTCAGGTAGAGAAATGTACAGTATAATCAATAAAAACAATAAACATCACACTGCAACAGTAAAAAGCCAAATTCATTTGCACGTCATCAAACAGTCTGAATTTCTGCTGTACCAGTGTGCGCACTCTGTGGTGAAATATGTTTTGCCTTGGCAGTTGTGACTGTCTTATTTTATTTTATTTTTATAAGCAATTCATGTAATGGGCTTCACTAAATCGGAGCAGATGAAAAGTGTGTCAGTAGGCTACACTCCATGGAGACATGAGAATCAGGGCAGCCAGTCACAAGGGCTACAAAGTGAGCAGAGTACAGAATCAAGCTGATTTCTGATCATTGCTTTGCTGCTGCTGAATTCTGCATCAGTGTCACAAACACCGAGACATGTTGTTTTGCTTCCAACAGCTGAATTATTAGAACGATGCTGTTAGGATTTGGATTAAACCCACAGAATGTTTTCTGAGGTCCAGCTTTTTATGGCACAACAATGATCTCCACCATTTCCTGGTGTAACTGCTGTCCATTAAGCAGTAGTTACCACCAGTCAATTTGCCTGACACAAGAACATTCAGCAGTGGGGAGTGCACAACAATCATGGGGAGAAATGAGTGTGAAATGAGTCCTTTCCCTTTTACTACTTTCGCTTTCCAGTCGCTGCAAAGCTGTGTCATTCTGAGGAGCTCTCCTTGGTGCTGATTGACAGGAGGGACACTTACATGAGATCATTTTCATTTTAGGAAGTCATATTTATTACAGATACAGCTGGGTTGTTATTTATCAACTGTTGGTGAAATCCAATAGGTTCACATCATAGTTTTTCAAAAGTCTGTTGCCTAGACTCACGTTTTCAAGCTAAATGTGATTTAAAACCTAATAAGTGTTACGTTTTTTTTTAACATGAGGTGTTTTGTCTGAACATCAGATTATTTTAGACGAACTGATTAGTAAACCAGCAACCTTTTTGAAAATTAATTATTTGAGACACTGTCTGGCTCCACCTTCTCAGCTGTGAACTTCTCAACCACTTTTATTTACCTAATGTACTGTATATCAGTATAGAACTGATTTTCAGATAAAACAAGATATTTAAAGTTGTCAGCTTTGACTTTGAAGAAGGCAGTTGTAATGAACATGTTTGTGTGGCATCTTAATGGCCAAACAATTGAAGTAATTGAAAACAATAAGGTACAATACAACTAATAATTACTATATACAGTTCCCAAGGTCAGGAATGAACCTTTAGCATATTTCTACAAATATAGTGAAGATGGTGCTACAGTTCACGGCATTAGAGTTGAGGATATGATAATTACAGTACTTATGGGTTAAAGGGACCTTGCAGTTTGAACTTTAGTGCTTTGTGTAAAACAGAACTGTTGGCTGTGTTTCCTGTTGAATAATGCGTTGTACTCTGTATTTTGTTTCAGAGAACTGGGCATTCTACATGGACATTTGGCAGATTTACCCATGGTGTGTTGTCAGTATGAGCTGTTCTACTTAACTGTAGACTCTTTTGTTCTTTGTTAAAAATCTGATCTACTGTAGCCTTGTGATTTTCTCCACTGTTAGCCTTCAACAGCATGTGCGTCGCTTTGATGTAATCCTCAAATAGCTGTTTTATACTGTATATGAAAGTTACTGAACATCGATATTGCTTTAAAGTATTTGCTTGATTTTACTGCTTGACTGCTTAGAGAACATGCGCCCACCCCCACCAAGCAGTATTTTTCTAATCGCACTGTTGCCTCTCTGCATAAAATCCTTGAGCGAATAATGTGAGGCTTTGATGTTTTGAGGTGGAACATTTGGCAGGCTGTGGTCTAAGCCAAATCAGAAGCTTGCTGTACTCGATTTCAGTTCAAAGTTGCATTACAATTTAGGCATTACACTGTTGAAATATATATTTCCTCATAGATACATTGTTGAGTCGCTGTCCCTCACCTGGTGTTCAAGCTGTGTACCTTCATTTGATACAGTTGGGTGGATCTGCACACCCATGCCCATAAAAAGCACACATGCTGCTAAAAAAAATAAGTTAATGGTGATTGTTCATGTTACACTGGCTTTGTCACCATTAGGCAGACCTTCTGGAATGATCTAATCAGTGTTTCTATAATGTGACGTTATGTGAGACATACTGAGGTGCAACCTGATTTGTGGTTGTCGTCCTCCTCCTTCACAAGCTCTCTAACCCTTAAACATATCTGTCAGCCATCCAGCAGTTTAGCTGGTGATTTTAGACTCTAATGGGTACGAAGAGGATTGGTCGTGTGGGTGAGAGAGATGCTGGTTTCCATAGTAACGGTGCTCTCCCGTCTGCCCTCTCTTGCTGCCACTATGGAAGCGAAGTTTTCCGCTCCTGCCGAAAGCAAAGCTATGGTAAACTTGCTTGTCTTGATTCATTTTCTGATTTTATTTGTTTTTCCCATCTGTCCCTGTTTGCCTACATCTGTATTATGATCTCAGACACACAGACGTGGTTTCAAGCAGTTTATTGTGAGCCTGCCTGGTTTCTGTTTCTCTGTCTTTTTTTTATAGTGGTTTCTTGTTCTTGTTCTTCACCTTCCTCAAGAAATCAGAAGTCCATGACATATTTATACTTTCTGTTTTTGAGTGTTACTTATTCAAATGAATGGTTTCCCTGTCTTTCCTTTTGTTGACATATTTTTGGTTTCAGTAGCTTGAGTTATATAAATATTTTCTGCTTTTTAAAGGATTGTTTGGTTTCAGGTGAAATTTTATCAAGAAAATGATTTTTATTTACAGATTCTTCAAATCCACATAAACCCCTCCCCTCTATTTATTTTTACAAGCCACAGCTGGCTTCATGTCATGCTCCAGCTTCAACCCATTTATTTCACTCTGGGGGCTCTCCACCATTCTTTTCATCCCATCAAACTCTGCAAATATGAAATGTCATTTCACCAGAACTCTGTTGTTGTCTTCAGCCTCCTCTTCTTCTCCTCATCTTCAGTACGTCGTTTTCTGAATTTCAATCTTCCATCTTAACCATTATATGTGTTTCTTTTCTTTCTTTCAGACTCTGAGGCCACAGAGGATGATACTACAGAACCTCAGATGGAAACCAAAGAAGGGAGGCACCAAGACAAGGCTGGGCGGAGAGGGCCTTCAGGTATTTCATGTAAATTCTTTCTGATAAGAGCACTGATAAGATTAGCTCTTCACAACTGACATTTGAACTATTTTCTCCTTAGTTTTACATATGTTTATAGCTGAAAACAGGCAATCATTGAAAGAGAAGATACAGTTAAAAAAAAAAAAAAAAACAACAATCTGGAGTGCAGCATGAACATATTCTGTAGCTCTTCAAATCTTATTTATGAGGTGACAGTCAGTATGATTTACTGCAGCAAAAACATTGCTACCAAAACCACACTTCCTCTAAATCAGAATTATAATTCGATGTGGATTGATAGATTGAATAGAGGGCTGTTATCATCTTGGCCCATGACGTGTTGGATGAAATCCGATATGGTGCAATACATTAATCCCTCATGGTGTGATGCAACAGTGTGACACAGTGCCCTACTTTCCAGCAGAGAACCTGTCCAGGTCTAGATCTCACCATTTGCCTTCACAGGGACCATACAGCACAGAAAGCTGAAGCTGTTTCTGCAAGATAAATTAGTTTAGATGCAGTTAACAACACCATTTATTTTACTGTATTGTGTACTTGTGTTCTGCCAGTTAAATTCAATTAGGCTTTAAATATAGATAATTGAATTTACATAAACCTGTGTTGATCAGCTGAGCTAGAACTGCAGTGCATTCAGTAAGTGTTATGTGTCTGCCAGCTTTTTCAAAAAGATGTGTTGCTTTTCTGATTTATATCTCTGTGAAGCGAGTATTATTTGGGCTTTGAGCCGGTGGTCAGAGAAAACAAGAGGTTTAAAGATATCACCTGGCAAACTGTCACTTTCTGGCATTTGATAGATAATTCAGTGAATAATTAAAATGGCTGATAGATTGATCAATAATGAAAATAACTGTAATCTGCAGCCCTACAGTTTATTCTATTAAAGATGTATATTTCTGTAACTGCAACTAAAGGCTGAGGTCACAATGACACAGGTCTCGGTGAGTCTTGGTTCTACCTTTCACTCATTTACTAATCTTCACGTTCTCACAATTTATTCCTGACTAAACAACAGGATGTCTGAATATATATCAGAAATATTGACACCCTTCTCCTCTGCCACAAAGAGACATTTGATTTTCTTCTCATTTGCTCACACAGTTAGCACTTTCTAAGCTTTCATGCCAGCAGGCTGAATACTCATCACACCCCTGTAGAGACAAGCAACATAAAATAAAGAATATTAAATGAGTGAGGAATGAGGTGATACATCATTTGTTCTCTTCAAGACTAAAACACAAACAAGATGTGTTTTGTCTGGACAGACCTTGTTACAGACTTCTTGGACATGTATGAGACAAGATTGTTGTTGTTTCTCTATTGCTTCAAAACAGATCTGAATGTTCTGCCTTTCAGTAAAATGCTGCCCAACCTTGCAGAGAAATGAAAGATTTTCCATTTTTTTCTTTTTTGTATTTTTTTCCCTTGGCTCCAAGAGAAATTGAGTGTGGTTTCTGAATGTGGCGCTGAGTCAGTAGCACTGCAGTAGGAGTTTGTCGTTTTATATCCTGGCCTTCAACGCTATTTCAAGGTTTCCGTCATTAAGAGAAGATGCTGACTGCTGTGTCTTTTCGCTGTCTAAGCATTCCTGTCTCCGTTGCTCATCACTAAAATGTCAATCATTACCGGATTTGTGACGGGAGAGGATCTGTTTAAGTGGCATAGCATAGCCCTTACACTGTCTGCTTCATTTCCTGTTTTTAAGCAGTCGATAGTCTTTATCAATCTGTCCATCCTTTTTTACATTGCTGATGTTCCTGCACTTCCTTATGTCCGTGTCATTTACTACCAGCTCAAAAGTGCCGCTTTTTGAATAGCATGTGTGCTCAGTTTTTTTTTTTTTTTTTTTGCTTGCTTGTTCTTTTTTGAGCCTATTTTGAAATGTATCTGTGTATTTATGACCTGTGCTAAAGATTTACATCTTCTGTAGGAACTGATGTGTTTAAAGTATCATAGACCCAGTAGGGAGCAGGAAAATATTCCTAGACTAATGAACGCATCGTTTCTTTTCCTCTTTTTATGGGATTTGTTGACAGTGTAGAAAAAAATATAGAAAAAACAATCTAATCCTTTCAGCTTGAACAAGTTTTATTGACAGTTCAGTCTAATTTAATTCAGGATGTAAAAGCAAAGTTGTAATAATGTACCCCTCTATATCTCTCTGCAGGTGAGGGAGGGAGGATGATGGAATATAACCTTGATGCTACAGACCGCAGGGCCACCCTCCCAGGTGCTTATGACCCTGTGGTGGAGCGAGAGCTTCGTACCCTGGGCTCCCGCCCTCTGGGACCCTATTTAGAGGCCTCAAACCCAGCCAGGCAAGCTCTCGGTGGGGTTCCCGCCGAGGGGGCCCCCCCTGTTCGTCACCTGGGTGTGGAACCGCTGATCCGGGCGTCTCACGCTAACCTGGCCCGGCCTGTTCAGGGGTCAGAGGAAAGTGTTTCTGTAGGCAGTGACTACTATGGGAGCATGTTCAGCCTCTACAGAGGGAGAACATTTTCTATGCCATTATAGCACATGGCTTTTTTTTCCAGGATTCCACTGAAAACAAAAAAGACTGGCCACAATTCTCAAATTGCAAAAAAAACTCAGACAAAAGACAAGACATTATATCCTCCATAGATGCAAAAATGGTACTCTGTATGTTATAAGTTACAAATATTTGCTCTTATTTCATACATTCAAGCATTTTGTTCATACTATGTTACTTCCTCTTTTTTTTACCTGTCACACTTTCCTTTGACTCAGTTTTTTTATTGCTGTGAGTGTGCTTTGATTCCAGTCTAACAATTATGTCTTACAAAGTATCATTGGTAATATTTCTTATAGCCATTAGAGAGGGCGCAGTGGTACAATCTGCTAATATGTATTATTCAGCACTACTGAAAACTGTGATTACTCTTTTTACCCACTGCATGTTTTCGAGATCGGTTTCTCACTTCTGGATTAACACCATGTCTTTATACATTTGCAGTGGCATGCATAGATTGCTGGCTTTGGTCTAAGCTAATATCAGTACGAATGTTCTCACAAATTAATAATCATGTGATTCACAAGATGTTTTTAGGCATGATGGTTTTGTATTTGAAGTTAAAGCAGGGGGATGTTTGTAAGAGTTCATATTATGAATCTGCAATTTTGTTGCTGCAACATGTCTTCAGTTTCCAATTTTTGCTGTTTTAGAGTGTCTTCAGCCTAACCACAGTTAGATAAAAATCTTTATTTTAAAGGTGCACAGCATTATTTATATTATTTTATCTTCTTTTTCCTGACACTTCATTTTACACGGATGATGTACTGCTGAAAAAGAGACACAAAGAGCACATACAAAACACAATGAACTCACTGGTCAATGTGAAAACATAAGACAAAATGACACAAATGGACATTCATCTGCTTTTTTCTTACTCTTCTAATGCTTATGGCAACTGCATTAGAGCTCTAACTTGACACCTCAATTTCCCCTCAATCCTTGCAACTCTAGGACTCAAACTGCTGATGTATCACAGGAGCGCGCTTTGTGTGTCTCCCTGCCTTCTCCCCAGCCACCACCCACTCTATACAAAAACAGCATCAGTACCACAACCCAAGACTTGGATAAAACTAAACCTTCAGAGCCTCAGTCTTCTAAGATCAACCAGTCATCTAGTGTTAACAGTGTTGTTATGACATCCAAACTGGCTCATACAGGCCCAAAGATTTTTGACAAGGTCCAGGCTTTTGAGGATCAAAGGACCAGCATTGATCTGCAAGAAGGAATCAGATCAGGATTTGGTCAAGCAGCTTCCTTCGACCTAGTTAACAGTGCAAAGAAGACAGGAGGCCCCAGCAAAGAGCAGGTCAGAGTCCTGGAGGGTGCAGCCCAGAAGCGTACAGTGTTCAAGCAACGGGCCTCTTCTTTAGAGGACAAGACAAATTACTCCCAGAAGGTCCAGAGCTACCAGAGTAAGTTTGCTGAAGAACTCCAGAGGATCAGGACACTTGTGGGGAATCCCCGTTTAAAAAAGGCATATTCCACTGAACAGCTGTCACAGAAACAAAGGCTGACCCCAGAGAAGCTAGAGCCCATTCCTCCCCAAGTGGTTAAAAAGTTGGAGGCAAGGGAGCAAGCCTTGGAGGAAAGTGAAGTTGGAGAGAGGGGAGCAGACAGAAGATTGCAGATTCCTCGGCAGGCCCAAACCAAAGCTCTGGAGAATCAAACTCACAACTCTGAAAAGGATATGATGACAGAGCCAGATTCTCAGGGGAAACCAGTGGATGGCTCATCACAAAGAAGAACAGGGAAAATCTCTGTTACCATGGAGACGGCACCAGTTCATCAGTTACCCAGGCAACCATTGCCAACAGCCACAAAGACAATCTTAACAAGGTATGAAGTTTATCTTTACTGATGAATTTGTGTTTTTTATGTATATTTATGTATCTTGCAAGACAGTTGGGAGAAACTGATAAAAGTGCAGTTCATCTTCCAATTGAATATTTATTCCACACTTCTTGTCATTATTACATAACATGTTTCTGTTCTTTGAACACAGGGAAACCTTACAAAGCTCTCTGGCAGCTGACAAAGATGCTCTTGTCAAATCTCACAAATCATCATCCTTGTCCAGAGACACAGTTTCAAAGATAGACACCAAGATGGATAACAAAGCAGAGCGCAGGTCCCCCAGCCCGAATGGGAAGAGAACTTTGAGGGAACCAGAGTCCCATTCTCCAGTCAAGCCCCCCCGGCTCACCCCATCACCCTCTCCTTCCATCAGCCCTCTCCTGAAAAGGAGGAAGGCAGAGGTGGGCCAGAGGTCTCCAGCCTTGAAAGTGAACATCCCCACTATCCTGGTAGAGGATGAACCCATGGAGACAGAATGTGTTGCAGACAGACCTGACAAGACCAGAAGGAAAGAGCGAAGCATTCACAAGAGCAAGGAAAGTCATTCTGTACAACCCAGGTCTCCAGAGGAAGGTAGGACATATTTCATGATGATTGTTGATAAGCATCTTTGTAAAAATCTAACTAAGCAACAGACACTTCAGATGAAACTGAAGCTAGTTAACGTGCAGTTAATAACTGAAGCCAGTATTCCTTCAGAAATCAGCACTGAAGAAGATAAAAAAGCTTTTCTGCTGTTTGTAAACCCAGCATATTAACTAGCTTCCTTTTGGAATCAAAGTAATACTTTGGATTGGATAGCTTAAGTGAATAAGTACAAATTATATTCCCTCAGCGAGTTACAAGTTAAAAAGTAGAGCATGTATCTTTTATGTTGTCCACTGTGGAAAATGAATCAAGTACACAGTCTTCCCACAGGCCCAAACTCATTGATAGAAGTCATTTTTTGTGGGGACCCAAAAAAAAGAAACTAGCTCATGACTCGATTTGGGGCCTGACCCATTTTCGAAACCAGGTAACAGAGTACAGGCAGTACCATGTGAACATGACCTGTTGTTTCCAGGGTGCTCCTCTGATGACCCCTACCTTTCTGCTGATGAAGAGCCAGCTGAGAGCCTGAGGTTTGAGAGGCCTCTGGAGGATGCCATGGCACCGAGCGGCTCAGAGGTCACACTGAAATGTGTCATCACTGGGAACCCGGCCCCTGCAGGTACAACTGAGAACATCCTTTCCATTTTGGGTTAGGGTTTTACTTCATTTTGCTGTATGCACTTTTATATTTTTACAGGGTTTTTTTTTTTGGTATTTTATTTCTTCATCGTGAAAATTTTGAAAGTCAATGCTATAAAAAATCTAGGTGACAGATTTTAGAGATTTTTACACTCATAATGACTGGAGCTTAACTTAAAGAATATGATTTAATGTGCAGCTTGTTTGCATTTTCTTTGTTTTTCCTCTTCACTTTCTGTGAAATGTTTTCTGAAGCAAACACTTTCTCACAGAAGAAAAAGCTGTTTTCATCTGTGAAAACAATGAGCCTTATGCATCACATCATAGAAAGGTGGATTGTGCTATATTTGTCTTTACTGTGGGAGGTCTTATTGGGCGGTTGTCATCTGTGTGAATGCGTTTTTCTCTGCCTTCTCAGTAACATGGAGGAAAGATAATGTGGAGATTCAAAGCGACACCCACCATGTAATAAAGGCCGAGGGTGAGAAGCACAGTCTGGTGATAAAGCAGATGAGGCTGAACAACGCAGGGTCATACTGCGTCACAGCTGTCAACACAGCGGGCAGAGTGTCTTGCAGCGCCACACTCTCCGTCCAATCAGGTGAGACCAGGGCAGAGCAAAAGGATATGCTGTTAGATTTACAGCAACACATTTACATGTATATACAGTAAAGCAAAAGACAAGGACGCTGAGGCACATGTAAATGCTGCTCTCCCTGAAATACATAAACATGCCACGCACAAACGTGCCTTAATCCACTGCCAGCCATCCTCCGCCTGAAATTCTGTCTTAATGACTACAAAGGCCCTTTGGAGCTCAGTATCCCGACCGGGGCTTCTTGCAGCGATAGTTGCCATGGTAACTCATTAATTCTTAAAGGGGCTGAGCTCCCCTCAGTGCAGATTCAAAACACAAACCTGCCCTGTCACACAAAGGTCTCCTGAGTCTTAATGACAGCTACGGCATCCCGAATCAGGAGTAAACAAAATAATCATTCCTTTTGGAAAAGGCTTTTCTTATAAATGTGCTTGCGTTGGATGTGTGTTTATATTGCATGATGTGTGTGTGAAAAGCTTGTGCTGCTGCCAGCATGTTAATTCAGTTCATGTGAATGTAACCTGCTCTTCCCCAAATTTGTCAACAAAAGTGAGAGTACAATCTGGTACTGTCTCACCAGCAGCACTGGGCCTGTGTTGCCATATTAGGACAGCGGACTGTAACTTGCACGAGTATTTTTAGCCGTCCTCTTGTTCTCTCTGGTAATTGCAGTCTGCTTTATGTTCCTGTGCAAGATTACTGCTGCAATCATGGATTTTTTCATCTTTCTAGATTTCTCGCTGCAGGGCTTGGAGTTGAAGTTGTGGTGGGAGATTATGTGATTTATTTTATCTGGTTTAGCTGGGAACTGAGTATATTTTTGGCAGGGCAAGTCAGAACAGCGGAGAGAGGGATCTATAAGCTACAGAGAATGTCAGACCTCAAATTCCCAGCTTTTTATTGAGTTTGCAATTTCAACATTCTTTGTAGAGTCTCTTGGTATAAAAATCAAACCGTTAATGACTCTATACAGTATTAACTTTTCTCCAACGATTGTGTTAGCTTCAAGATGTTAGGAGTGTTAGACAATATGGACCTGACAGTGAGTGGAAACAGAGGAGAGAATGAGAGTGAAAAGCAAGGTTAGCTGGATCAGACTGTGCAGCAGTTGTGTAAGAGTTGGCAGGTTTAAGTAAATACTCCCGGGAGTCATTCCGCGGAGCACAGGCGCTGCTCAGAGATGTGACTAGGTAGGTTATTTTGTTGTTTTTCCTTTTTAATGCCATCATGATGACAACTCAACAGAATATCCACCATCGTAAACGTGATACTCCAGTATAACTTGTGTGTTTCTGTTGAGAGGAAACCTCAACTTAATATTTTGTTGCTATAAGACAGTTTCTGCATATAGTCTCTATGGATGTGGACAATCCTTGACTTCTTTCAACTGCAGCTTACAATGGATGACCCTGCTACCTTTTTTGTTTTATTTGCTAAGTTCATTTAATAGCAGTACTTTTATCTATTCACTCTACTGTTGTTGTCCTCTCAAAGGAGGACAGGCCTGAATTCTGTCCCACTCGTGGATTTTCTTTCATTTTCAGTCAGTGGTCACAGTGTTACAGTATGTGGTCATGCCAGATGCCTGAAGCTGAGACAAAAATAAAGCTATAGAGACAGAAAAAGAAGCAAAGTCTGAAAGAGTGGCTGTGTTTTGTATTTCTCCATCCAGCAGTGAATTAATTCTGACTTTAGCAGAAGCTGCCAGGAAACTGGACAGTGTGTCTGCTCTGGAATTCCGCGGGAATAAGCAAATGATTGGGTTAGGGATTATGGGATTAATTCATTATCTGTTCAGTTATGGTCCCTGTGCTCTGTGTGTGTACATGTGGGAGCAATGTGGCCCACTCATCTCTAACTCATCTGTCTGTGTTGCCAACTGCTCATCTTGGCAAAGATTAGTCATCCCAGAAAAGCAAGCAGAGAGTATAAACATCAGAGTTCCAACAGATTGTTCTTATCTAAAGGTTTAAGCAGCCGCCCCGGTGCCATGTTAACCACAATTCAAAGGGATTTGCACTTGATTAAGAAAGTGAATTAGATGTCACAGCAGTGTGCTTGAAATTCAATTAAATTATGTCCTCTTTCACTGTCCTGTTGTTCCAGAGCTGACCTGTGGGCAGTGTGAGAAACCAGCCAAACCTCAGGAAGTCAGTAGTCCAATCCACTCAGATGAGGAGTATCTGAGTCCTCAGGAGGATGCAATGGAGGTTGGGGACTTGCCTGCTCTGAGTAAAAGTGTCCACTTCAAAGAGCCCCCTTCGTTTCAGGTATGAGAGTCTCAGGGTGAAGTGAAGCCCAGTTTTGTTTTTCAGAAACCTGATGTTTAGGACAGACTGTCCACTGATATAATGGAGCCATGCAGCCCCAAAGGTTGTTCTGCATTTTCCCAGTACCGAGCCAAAGGAGCAGGCTAGATGAAGAATAGGACATCCTTTGGTGATAGATGGCAGACTCTGCTTGCTTTGTCAAATTCAAAGATGCCTAATTTACAGTTATATAAAACAGAAAAAAAGCAATGTGATTGGGATTTTTGCCTGAAAAGTGACTGAAGCTAACTTTTCTGTTGACTAACTGATGAACTGACTAATTGTTGCAGCTCCACTTCTAATAAATTTTAGGCTGAGAGCAAATACACTCTAATTGTGAAAGCTGTTCTAGCTACCCATGTTGTAATGTTTTTAAAGGTGGCACCATGTGACCAGGGGGTAACTGAGGGTCAAGATGTTGTCATCACAGCAAAGGTCAGAGGACAGCCAAGACCTATGGTTTACTGGTAAGTAAGTTTTATTTCAAACAACTATCTTAGGAAACACATAAAGCTATTACCTCAACCAAGGTGACTGACTTTCCCTGTCACACACAAACATCTACTTAACACCTGAGTGTAAATTACTGTGATGGTCATTTTATATTGGCCCAGGTTAAAGGACAAACTCACAGTGAAGACAGCAGGACGCTTTACTATACAAGAGACAGAAGATGGCAGCAGTGAAATAAGAATCAGTTCAGTTCAGAGGTCTGATGCAGGGCTTTACATTTGCAAGATCATCAATGAGTATGGTACCAAGCAGGTGGAGTGCAAAGTGGAGGTCAAAGGTGAGTAATAAAGAACTGAATCTGTTTAGGTCAGTTTGTGTTACAACAGGCATCTTGTGTAATATTTCCTTTTTGATGTTGTTTCTGTTGCTCCAGCTCAAACAGCACTGAAAATCACCAGGGAGGTAGAAGACGTGTCAGTCAGGGCTGGAGAGTCGGCCATGTTTGAGTGTTACATTACAGGACCTTCAGATGTTGATGTGGATTGGCTGTCCAATGGGAAGCTGATCCAGCCAGCGCTGCTCAACTGCAAGATGCACTTTGATGGAAAGAGGTGGGTGCATTTGTGTTGGAAATGTCTTCTGGTGATCCCTCTTTGTTGACTTCTGTGTGTGATTTGATTCAATGTGTAATTAAAGGCTTTTTCTTTGGTGTGTGAGAAACTGGCAAACCCTGGGTCCAGAGTGGAAAAGTGTTGGTTGGAGGAATCCCAACCCTGACCCTCACCTAAAATTCATCTCTCTAACCTATTTAGCTGTCATTGAAGCAGGATGTTTGCAAGAGGTTTAGTTTTAAATTATTGGACCCTTTTTAAAGGCTGTTTTGTTTAATTTTACAGGTGCCGTCTGCTGCTAAATTCAGTACATGAAGATGATAGTGGGACGTACACTTGCAAGCTGAGCACAGTCAAAGGTAAACTACAAACACTGTCTCACTGTTGTTTAAGTGATGATGGAAAATGTACGATTGTGTTCCTTTTAGCTCTGCCAAGGAGAGGTTATGGATGTTTTTTTTTTTGTTGTTTTTTTTTGTTTGCTGACAGATTTTGAAATGCTAAGGGCCAGGGACCGAATAGTTTTTGGCACTGACCTGAAACCAGTAAAGCAATTATGACAAAACAAATCAACAAATATGTGCTGTATCAACCTCTGCCTTTGCTATCATTTAAAATTTCACTAATCCTTCTGGACACATACATATATATATATAAATACTCAGAGAAACTCCTTACTAAGTAATGGGTCTTTTCAGAGGAGTTAACCTCAAGTGCAAACCTGAGGGTCACTCCATCCAGGGAGCCTTTGTTCACCCATAAACTGGACATCCTGGAGGTCATTGAAGGTCGGACTGCCCGGTTTGACTGTAAGGTGAGCGGATCTCCCGCGCCACAAGTCACATGGATGCATTTTGGTAAGAATCTCAGTTTTGTATGTGATGTGACATTTGGTGCATTTGGGTTTATCATAACTAACAGCTATGAACTCTTCAGCGGAAATGTTTGTTTGTTTGTATCAGAGACACAAGTGGAGGAAAGTGATAATGTTTGCATCCTTCAAGAAGGGGGTCGTCACTCGCTAGTCATCGCCCACGTTAGCAGTGACACAGAAGGCTTCTACACAGCAGTTGCTCATAACATTTTTGGGAAGTCTGAATGCACTGCTGAGCTCTACATGCAAGAACCCCGAGCTGCTATCTCTTCTCACATGTAAGAGAAGCCAACGATATGGGAAATATCTCCATGATTGTGTCATTTCAAAGGCTTTGAAAAAATAAAACCAAACTGTTACTATAAAAGTCAGAAAAGCAGTTTTTTTTTTAATCTGCAAGGGTAAAGAAAAATGCTTCAGAAGGAAAGAAAACCCTGAAGGCATGGAACAAAAATTTAATTAAGCCCATTAGTCTTTCAGTGTGTCTTCTCAGATTTAAAAATTGGTCGATCCTTTCTTTTTCCAGGACAAAGTTGGAGAAGATGCCATCTATCCCTGAGGAGCCTGAAGTGCTGGAGAGTGAGGTGGAGAAGAGGACCATGCCAGACTTTGTGAAACCTCTGGCTGATGTGGAAGTGATTGAAGGGAAATGAAATGCAAGGTAGCAGGTCTGCCCTACCCAGCTATCTCCTGGTACCATAACGGAAAGCGCATTGAGAGCAGTGAGGAACGTAAAATGACTCAGTGTAAGCAAAGAACCAGATAATTAACAAATCAAATCAGTTTGTAGGAACAGGAAACAAGAAACTTGTGTGACTGTCTTTCAGACAGGGATGTCCACAGTCTGCTCATTCGGAGCGCTTGTCATGCTCATGGGGGTGTCTACAAGGCCGTCATATCCAACAAAGTGGGCAAAGCAGCCTGTTACGCACATCTATATATAACAGGTCAGAACTGAAGTTTAATGTTTGATGCTGCCGTAGACAGAATGCAAGATGCCCCCTTACAGTTTGTATGTATCTTATTGGCTTTATTCATTTGAAAACAGACATTGTTCCTGACCCGCCTGATGGCCCTCCAGTGATCGAGGCCATTACAGGGAAAAATATAAGTCTCAGCTGGAAGACACCAAAGAGGCTTGACCCTTCATTTGGTATGTTGACTGCATTCATCTGATACCAGTTTTATGCTTTGGCCTGGATATTGAAGAAAAAAACTATTTTTAGTGACTCTTTTTTGCAATATTTAGGAAGGTTTAATCAAAACACTGTAATTTTCTAACCATAAAACACTTGCAGAGAAACACTATTTACAGTGCCTTGCGAAAGTATTCGGCCCCCTTGAACTTTGCGACCTTTTGCCACCTTTCAGGTTTCAAACATAAAGATATAAAACTGTAATTTTTTGTGAAGAATCAACAACAAGTGGGACACAATCATGAAGTGGAACGAAATTTATTGGATATTTCAAACGTTTTTAACAAATAAAAAAACTGAAAAATTGGGCGTGCAAAATTATTCAGCCCC